CATAGCGGCTCCGGCTCGGGTTCCCGCGGCGAGCGCTGCAAGGGAGGGGGCGGCCGTGAGACCCGGCACCGCGGGCTCGCCCTCGAGGCCCCAGTCCCGGGCGCCTTCAGCAGCCGCCCAGGGCTCAGCCTCCCGTCCCCGCAGAGACATCCCTCCCGCCGGCCCCGGCCCCGGCCCCGGCCCCACCTCGGACTTGCCTGCTCCCTTTCACCCCGCAGCGGCCGTGCAGGGCTCGGCTGAGAGTGCGAGGCGGTCAGGGCCGTCGAGCAGGTCACTCCATCCCGTGCAGCCTCTACTGCCGCCTTTTATGCGGGTGCACAAAGCCAGCGAGTGGGAGGCCCGCGAAGGCGCGTCGGGCCGCGGAGGGCGCCCACGCGAGCCCTCAGGGCAGGGGCAACAGCGTGGCGGGGCCGCCCCCTCGGCGGACAGACTCATCAATCAAACCGCTCGGGGGCGGGGCGGACACCTGGCCCCGCCCCCTCCGACCCGGAGCCCGGGAGCCCAGCGGCTGCGTGCGGATTCGGCGGGACCCTGCGGTTCAGAACAGCTTGATTTTCACCTCGAGGAACGGAGCCGAGTGTGCGTCCCTGTCCGCTTTGTATTCCACAAAGTAAAGATTCTTGCAGTGGAACCGCTTCCTCAGTACACCGTGACCCAGGGACCCCGCCATCGCCCCCTTCCCGCCCCTGCACCTGCGCGCACAGGCTGGGACGGAACCAGACCGACCTGGGAGGACCCGGGTCCCGGCGTCGGCGGTCCCCAGCTCTGCAGCCCGTATGTACCGGCCTTTGCCGAGAAGCCACCCCGGACACGGTCCTCACCGCAGCCCAGCCAGACACGCTCCAAACGGGGGCTCAGAGCATCAGATATAAACTGTCACAGGGGCACTGCTCGCTTATAGATTCTGCAACATTTCCCACAGATTCCTGACTTTCCACATCGAGATTACCAAGCCGTAGATAGTAACTACTTACACCGCGATGAACCAGACGTGTTGATTTGTTAGTGAGCCAGGGTGATCATTAGGTGATCATGATAAGCTTTATGCTTTCGAAAGTAAGCCCAGATCCTCTTGATTCAAGTACACATATGGAATAGGAAACCACATTTTATTTCCTGGTAAATTTTATTTAACAACCAATAAAGTAAATAGATGCCGGAATTCACACACGGAAAATAAAGTCTCAGATTCTATAAAGAAACAAATCAAACAAGAACTTAAACACCGAGATAACCGAAGTTTACAAACCCTCACAACACGCTGTTGCCTAGTTCTATGAAGAAATCAAACCACGCGGCGCTGAATTTACTCCATTTCCTCATACACATTTTCCTTTACTTTTGGGGTTTCAGAGAAGGTGAGGTTCATGGATATCATTTTTTGTTAGCAAGCTTTCAGGTTCCTTCAAGGACAGATTCCTGTATTTACAAACAAAAACAACACACCAGTATTTAATTAACTTGATAGGTAGGAAAAAGAAAAAAAAGAGAGACAAGGGACATAGAACCCAGGACACACTAACCACAGTAAAAGCTCATAGCCAGTCAGGCTTTATAAGAAAGCAGAAACAAAACATTTCCCGCTTTGGGAGATACACAGAAATAAGGAGGTTTGGCGGGCTGTGGCCATGCAGAGATGCCCGAAGCTCCTTAAGTCTGACCTAGCTGGTTGCTCTCCTGCTGCCCTGGACAGCAGTGGGAGAAGAGACAGATGTTCAGAGACCAGACCACCCAGCCTCTCCTCTTGTGCTACTACAGGCAGACTGAGTCACTTTAAACGCAGATAATCCTAACACTCCATTATTCCATAACTAGAGTAACAGGTGCCATATGGCACCTTTCATACGCTGAGTACTTATGGGTATTTTCTCATTTCTCATTTACAAAAACTGAGGATTTTACATTTTACAGTTGGGAGATTAGGGTTCTCTGGGACTGGGCAACTTGTCCGGTGTACCATACCTAGTAAATGACTAAGGTGACAGTCAAGCCAAGTAGATTGTCCCTAACATTTATGATCTTTGCCATAATGATTGTTTGCATCTTGCAAGACAGTCTTTGTGTCTATTATTAAGATGCATACTTTTGATTGGCACATTATTAGCAGTTCAAATATATGTTCATAATGTATCTTTCTTTGAAGTTTTAGTTGTCTAGTTTTCAGAAAGTATGACCTTAGAATGCTGTAGATTTTATCCATTGAAGTGTAGTGTAAGTCTCAGAATTATTTTTAAGTCTTTTAAACTTGCCAAGTTGTAATGTTAAGATTGTCTTTATAATAAAAGCTAAAAAGCAAATATCACATAGCAGAAACCAAGATGTTTAAACACTTTATACTATACATATATTTTGTATCTATTAAATAATTAACTGGTTTCAACTATTTCCCTCATTGTTTAAATTAAGGAATAACTTGTAACCTGATGCGGTGGTTTAATCCCAGCACCCGGGAGGCAGGCAGGCCGGTAGATCTGTGAGTTTGAGACCAGCCTGACAATGTTTCTCTTGAGTATAGATTTTCATTTCACTTAGGAAAATTTCTTGGACTGTATATTTAACGTTATAATGCATCAAACTACTGTGCTAAGGGCTCCTGATTTTGCATTCCCATTTTTAGTGTGTGAGTTCTAGCAGCTTCGTAGCTAATCAGTATTTGGAGACTTTTTTTTTTTTCCCGGAGCTGAGGATTGAACCCAGGGCCTTGTGCTTGCTAGGCAAGCACTCTACCACTGAGCTAAATCCCCATCCCTATTTTTATTTCATACCCATTCTAATATACTAACTTTGTGTGTGCGAGGCAGGGTGTGTGTGCGTGCACATGTGAACAGGTGTATATCCATTCTAATATGCTAACTGTGTGTGAGGCAGGGGGGGTGTGTGTGTGCACATCTGAGCAGGTGTGTGTCTATTCTAATATACTGTGTGTGCGAGGCAGGGTATGTATGTGCACATGTGAGCAGGTGTGTGTGTTGGTGTCTGTCAGTTGCTCTCCATTTTTTTTACTTTTTTGAGACAAGGTTCTTCACTGAACCTGGACCTCATCATTTTGGCTAGGCTGGCTAACCAGTGCGCTTCCAGGATCCACCCATCTCCACCCACCAGTGCTGGAGTGCTGGGGTTACAGGTCTGTGCTGCTGCGCTCAACTTTCTGTGGAGCTGGAGACAGGAACTCAGGTCCTGTTGTTCGTGCAATATGCACTCTACTGACCGAGTTGTCTCTCCACTTGTCTAGTGGGTTATCCTTAAAGACAAAGGCTGGGCCAGTATGTACTTAAATCAAATGGTTTTCCAGCCTAGCGCTCTGGCTTGCCAGATGTTCTCACTCCGAAAGTCCATGTACACTTGCCCACACCGCTCTCACCCTGAGTGGCTGCAAGGTGCCTTGAGCTGCACAGGGATGTTCTTGTCCATTCATCTTGGTCACTTCCTCACGGGCTTGCCTTTCTGTACCTTCCTGGACCTGGGACAATCCTTAGCAGAGTCGCTGAGAGTTTGGCTATTTGAGTCAGAATATTCTTCTATTAAGAGTTCTAGTCTTTAAAAATTGTTTGAGTAATAAAGATTTAGATTTCAAAATATAAGCCTTTTAAAATGCAAAGTGAGAGTTGGGTTAAGTCAGGCCTCCGTAGCTTGTTCACAGAGCAAGCTACTGACAGCATTGAAGCCAGAATTCCCCAACACTCGCTTGGCCCCTTAAATGGAAAATCTTTATTTCCCACCATTGCTCTTGGGGGTGTAGACTACTCTCGAGAGAATTCTTTGAGAACTGCAAATCAAAATGATAACAATCTATCTACATTACTGATACACACAATGTTTACTTGGCATATGAAATTAAATATACTGAAGGAAAGATTAGCAAAGCAAAACGAAAGGCATTTGACTTTGCAATGTTTGTTTATGTAAGAGCATCCTAGATTTTTAGGACTAAAAATATTACTTCAGTTCTTAAAATTCTTTCTGAAGCACATAGATCTGTTATTGTAACTGTTTAAACATATCCTTACCAACTCGTGAAAGCCAGGTATCTTAACTATTAGAATCCACTTTTAATTCAAAGAAACCTCTTCCCACTGCTTAGCAAATACCTTAACTAAGTATTTCATAAATAGTTAACCAAAACAGAGGGGGCATATCCCTGTGAATTACAAGTCCCAGGGATTCGTATTCCTTAAAGATATCTGAGACCCAGCATAGCCCAACCCATTAAAAAGGTATTTTGCATTAGCAAAAATATGTGGGTCTATGGTTATGGGCACTGCTTGCACTTTAGAGGAGTTAAGTAACTGTTTGCCTTCTTTATGGTTTACTGCTGTGCAGTGGTCTTGGTGGATCTTGGGGCAACATGCATGGATTTAATGCCTATTTTTAAATCACTGAGGTCCAAGCACCCCCTAGCATATTTGAAAAGAGAGGAAACATCTGTCACAAGTATTTACTGTGACAAATACAGAGGAAAGCAATAATGTGTACGGCTCTTGCTTATTTAATCCCATACATTATTTTTAATTGAACAGTGAAGGCGTTTGTTCAGAATCAGCCTTTAAATAAAAAATAGTTTAGAACTAATCTTTAATCAAAGTGTACTTTGATAGTCTCAAGTTCAGTTTGAGGGTCACAAACAACGTCAATAAGTCTGACTTTTTTCTCCCTGCAGGGAAAGCGGGCTTGTGTAAATATACACGTGAGGACTGCATGCATTTATAAGAGTCAGGGAAAACATTCCCCTGTCTTCCGACACATGTTGTTTCGCAGCGCTCTGCCTTGCACACAGGCACAACTCCCAGTGTGTCGAGCCCTCAAGGAGGGCGCAACAGAGTGTTGTTTTTGGAACACGCACTGTTTTCTACCTCTCTGCAGCTCCTCACCTTGAATGTTAATATAGCTTGCGAAAATATGTTATGAATGCCAGCTCATTCTCACCTTTAAAATAGTTAAGGGAAAGAGTTGCTTTAATAGATTTTCTTGAAACTGAAAATCTGATCTTTGTGTTTGTGTTCAGATGGGTTTGGTGTGTGTGTGTGTGTGTGTGTGTGTGTGTGTGTGTGTGTGTGTGCATGCTTGTACTAGGTAAACACATCATGCTAGGCAAATATGTTCTACCATTGAGCCAATACTCCAGGGCAAATTATTATTTTTTTTTTGGGGGG